GTATATGTTAAATAACTTCACGCACTCGCCCAGACAGACAGACAGACGGATGCTGGCTGCTGTTCATGAATGCAAGTACAAATTACGGGCCCATTCAGTTGTTGGCCAGCAAAACAGCGGGAGCAGGAGCAGGAGCGGGAGCAGGAGCTGGCAACATGAGCCGCGTTGCGTCGTGGAAGTGGACGTGGACCCCCCGTTGCTGCAACTGGCCTTCAATGGATTTCATTCGCGTACAGTACATGTTGCTGTGGCCCAGCAGTACAAACAAGTGAGAAAGCCTAGCCGTGCGCACCGAAGCTGCAAGTACACTTGCTGATCGATCGTCTGATAGTACTGGTGGGAACACCAAAAAGTACTTCCAGCGATTCCATTCGGTTCTTCATTGACAGAACAAGAAAGAGACTCAAATCCACCGATTGTTGTTATAGCAGTTCTATGATGATCAGATCTTGAATACATATATTCTGATAGTCAAAATGGTAGTACCCCTTCGAAGGGTATTACGAGTACAACCCCAAGGATACTGATGAGCCGCAAGCTCAACAACGACATTGACACTGGCAGTTGTTCGTCCGCGGTCCCCCCCTCTCTCTCTCTTGCGCTCCGCATCAGTCCGCCTCTGTCTGTCGTAAAACTCTCCGGCCCGGCTCTCTCGTCACTAAATTACAAGACTTAAATTTTACGCATCAATAAATCCTGCGACAAAAAAAATGTGCCCGACTCGTTGGCCATTTGTAACAAATTGAATTCAATTAAATAAATTAAAATGCATTCTACATAAGCGCGACTGTTAAATGGGAAAAAAACTGGATTACAAAATAGCTTTCGCATGTCACGAAATACAGGATATTTGCCACCGGGACAGCCCAACAACCCAACCCAACCCAACCCCACCCCACCCATCAGCCATCAGTGTTCATTTGCAACTTTCCGTGAGCCAATTTACAGAATTTACTGAGCCAAGTGCAAAATCAAAGCCAAAGTTGAAACAGGGGAAAGTTAACTGGGGAAGCGGAAGGGGGAGAGGATAGGATAGGATAGGATAGAGGAGACTGGGGGTAACTGGGATTTTTAGATAAATAAGAGTGTGTGCAGGGACTCGACTCGACTCTAGACTCGAGACTCGAGAGCGCATTAATAAAAGCTGAGCATGGTGAAAACTTTTTCCCACTCAATAGAAAAGTTCCCTCGTAGCCAGCGAGCTCGATTTTCTTATATTTTTTTAATGTTTGAGGTTTTGATGTTTGTGTAATGTGGGATGTGTGGGCGTGGCCCCCCGGCCCGACCGACTTGACAAATGACAATTTTCACTAAATATTTGGAGGAACTCGTACAAGGAGAGCGGAAAGGAAACCAAAAAACTCAACACAAATAACAGGGGAAACTCCCAAAACAAAAGAAAGCCAGGGGAATCCCGGGGTAGACTTGCCAAAGAGGCGGCTCCTGCGAAAGTTTCAAAAGGGATGATGGAGCAACTATTCCGGCTTTAAGCTCGAAACATTAGCTCACGCACACCTCATCGCAATGGCATGGCCATCTTTAAGGATCTCCCAAAAACCAGCCAAACAAGCCACGAGGGAAAACAACACTTTCGGTGAGTTTTCCAGTGCATTCAATTGAGCGGAGAAGTAGCTTGAAAGTCTCAAGAAAGTTTTCACGTAAGCCCCCGGCCCAGCCCAGTCCAGCCCAGTCCAGCCCAGCCCACAGACATCTCGATGATCCCCTTATAAGCATGTTTGGTATTGCCTGGCAGGGCTAATTGAAATGCAGCCACTTGGCTAATGCTGTGAGCAGAAGCAGAGGCAGCAGCAGCAGCAGCAAACAGTTGCCACTCGGTTGCCATCCCATGGCTGCCACCCAGCAACATACTAATCAATTTAAAAAGTTTCAACCGGCAGCAAAGTTTTCCAAGTGCTTGTGCGATGAGCTCTCTACTTGTCTGCTCTCCAGTTTTTCCCCCAGTTTGCTAAATCTGGAGCGCTAGTTGCCCGCTCGTTTCTATGTACAGGACTAATGGGAAAACGGAAGTTGCAAAGGAAATTTGGGTTGGCGACACTGTCGTCGGCTGGCTGTCGACAATGGCAGTGGCATGGAGTGGGAAAAATATACGTTAGAAACGGAAAACAACGCAACACAACACAGCACACAGAGCAGTTGTTCTGCATTTCCGTTTCCGCTGGCGGCGCGTGCACGTCGCATGGGCACATCTCTTTCTCCCTTTCTCCCAGATGTTGGGCAATGAAAAGTGCATTGCGCTGCCTGCCGACTCGTCCTGACATTGTCCTTGCTCACGATGAATCTGTATCTCTGTAATATAATATTCAAGGGGGTATCGGACTGTGGATGGGGATACGGACACGAACACGGATACGGATACGGGTACGGATAGGGTGGCATGGCTAAATAGATAAATTGGAAAACTTGCGCGTTTCAAATGTTTTGCAAAAGCAATTAGTTTGACGCTCCTGGCTAAGCCGGACTCGGGCTCAGCATCGTATTGCAATTAGCGTAACATAAAGAGCATAAAATGACCGGCGACGAGCCGGCTAACCACCCACGACGCCACCAAAGCCAACCAACACCAGCATCCCGTCCAAACGAAACCAGTTAGCTGAAAACGTTGAATTATGAGCCATGACCACGGGAGAGCTGGTGCCCCGCGTAGGCTGTGGCTGCTGCTGTCCGCAGGCGTTGGCTTTTCGCCATTTTCCGACCCCATTCCAAAACCGGACCTGGCCTCCTGCTGCCCCTTTTGATTCCCTCGACGGCTCTGCCGCCTTGGGGGCTCCCAAAACGCATTAATACCAAAATCAATCGGACCAAATTTCGAAAAATAAAACGAGCATTTGTTCGTATTCCTGCTGCGATGCTGGACTGTGTGCTACCGTAGAATACAGTACAGGTTGGATCGTTCCAATAGTTTCTTTAGTCAGAACATAACTGGAATTCCATTCACTATCGTCAGAGCAACTTGTTTCTGATGATTCCAGTTACATTTTATTCCTTGAATTGCAATTAGCTTAACCTGAAATTTCACTAGAATACCTCCAATCATACCTATTATTCCGAGAATAGCACCCCGTAGAGGCGCCCCAGCCCAGCCAGCCCCAGATGTGGCACATGTCCTTTGGCTATGGCAAAGAATTCCACGAAAATCACAGCCAGCCCAATTTTCACTGGCTGGCCAGAAGAAAAGCTATTCGATGAGGTTTGTATTGGGCTCTAATTGAAGTTTGTTTGAATGTGTGACCGCTGGGTGGCTCTGGGCGGCTCTGGGTGGCTCTGGATGGATTGGGCTGCTTGTTCGTGTGGGACATTCAATTAATTACATTTACACGGGACTCTCTCTCTGTCTCTTAGCTGTCGCTTTCTGTCTGGGGAATTGATGTTTTGAGTGTTAATTAAAAAGTGCATGCAAAATAGGATCCTCATCAATAGGCTGACATTTGTGGCTTTCATTGGGCTTCGATTTCGGAGGAGAGACGGGAAAGGCATTTCGTAAAAGCCCCATATCCAGAGGTCCCACACCGGAGCGAACAAAAAACACTCAGAGCAATTTAAGAGGCTGTCACATCACCTCTTCGCCTTGTGGATTATCCTGGCTTATGGCAATCGAATGTGGCTCAAAGCAAGTACATACTAGGAGCCTCTCCCTCCTTTGGCTTACCCTTGTCTTCGTCTCTCTAATTACCAGCAAGTGCTGGTGGGGGTGGGAGTGGGCGTGGCGCGGGGGGCTCATTGCAAGGCCAAAGGATAACTAATATCCCATAGAATCTTAAGCACCAGCTTAAACTTTGCAAGGAGCTGGCATGGTAGAAAACTTCTACTTCCAGTAAGTAAGACCAGGCCAATTTTAATACGAGTGCTTTTAGCCATTTTGTGTGGCCCTTGGTCAAGTAAGATTGTGCTCATTTATTTACGAGATAAACTTTTGATTTGTGGTACGAGCGCTAGAGGGAGGGGACGGGGTGAAGCCCAGCTGAAAAATTTTATTACCCAAATACTATTTGGTAGCCGGGGGCCAGGCCGGAAGACTCTGGGCCCCCTTCTCGAAACTAATAAAATAAATTTAATATGCGATTCTTGCCTGTGGCTTTTGGGGTAATTCTCGCTTATTATTGCCGCCCCACCCCCCAGTCCGCCGCATTCTACTACCACCCGCACGACTTCCGCCACACGAAAACTGTAATGCTCCAGTTAACAAACTTATGGCATAATAAAAAAGTTTTTAAATAAATTCGCGAGAGATTCTTTATGGTCAGTTTGTAATAAATAAGGATTCTGCTAAAAAAAAAACACAAAAAACAGGGATGCAATCAACAAAAATTCAGGCTGGTAGGGGCACGATGGAGGCTTTTTTTGACTGTGTTACAATTCATCTGAACGGGAAATGGCATAAAAAGAGCTAACACTTGAAACAGAAATCAAAGGAAAAAACCCCATATACGGAGAGCATTGACTTTACGGCAGCACTGTTTATTAAACTACAACACAAATGGCATGTACCAAGGGTTATCAGCATGTTTTTCCCTTATCAATGAAAGCGAAATCGTCCGGTACCCGTTGAGAAGGGAAAGCGAAGCTTTGCCCGGAGTTTATCGGGGGATTTATACTTTGATCCATCAAACAGAAACAACAGCAGTGCCAAGAGCATTGATAAGGCTTATCAGAGGTATCAACAAACAAACAGTAGCTATGGTGACGATGAGCGGGGAGGAGGGGGCGCAGAAAAAGGTGTCTGCCCACGATATAGTATAATTAATATGCAATAACGACATATGGCACCAGGCACACCCACTCGACACTCATGGCCAACCACCCACAAATGACTTTGACGAGCAGGCAAGTACAGTGGAAGATCTTCCGATGGACAGCTGCTGAAGGGCACTGAATTTACCTTTGCCTTGTCATTTAAGAGGGCACTTTACTGTAGCTGGATTCCCACAGACACGCAACGTGGCCCATCAACATAATCGATACAATAATGGGGCAGAGGCAGGTTGATCAATTTGTGCTTTATTAAGAATCCACTTTCAATTTAAGGAGCTACGCAAAAAACTGTCTCAACATTGAGATATATACTATATAGACGTAATCATGTAATATTGTCACCGGAATTGCCGACATTTAAATGCCCTACATTGGTTTAACCTTAACTTTATATACACGCACATGCACACTCGCACACACATTCATCTATCGGGATCATCTCATCGTTCGTTTCTACATCATCCTACATATTCCTTTTCCTGGTTCACCGGCCGACCAGATGCCAGCTGGGCGGCTGCTCATCCGGACAGTTGCAGCTATAACAAAGTTTTCGAGCCACACTATAATCCAGTGCTCGTCTCCTTACCAAGAATATATTTGTTGTAGCCCTGGTTCATTTGCTCCAACAGGATGAAGGTCAGGACCGTGTGCGGTCCCAGGCGGCAGTAGTAGGGTGTGAAGCCCTTCCACAAAGCAAAGATTCCCTCCTGGCGAGCCACACGAAGCAGGACGTCTGTAGTGCCGCGGTACTCCGGCTTGCCCTCGACTTTCTTCATGTTTTGAATGCGCGTCTTGGCAATATCCAACGGCATGGATGTCATGGTGGTCAACAGACCGCTCAGCATGCTGGCGCAGAAGTGTAGCTTGATGCCCTCATTCATCTGCAGCGGTCCGTCGTGGAAGTACGTCTTGAACTGCGAGTAACTGGCCAGCTGGGTCATGTTCACGACCATGGCCCTTCCCACAGTTGGCAGACTGCCACGCCAGAGCGCCGCCAGACCCTCCTCGCGGGTAATCCTCGTCAGCGCATTGGCCACATTCGTGTAGTTGCGTCGCTCCGCAACCGGCAGGCGTCCGTCGGAGGTCATACGCACCAGAGCCACCTCGGCCGGGGTGCCGATGAAGGCGCCACAGGCTCCAGCAATGGTTCCCATGGCCATGCTGTCCACTATATTGGGGTTCCTGTCGAAGCGCTCCTTGTACAAGTCGTTCAGATAGGTGTACATGCCCAGGCGGCCGGTGGTGTAGGTGGCCTGACGCAACAAGGCAGCACCAATGCCCTGGTAGAGAGACAGGGGCCCCTCCCGGGCGACTATCTGCTGGATGCAGTGGAAGGAGTTGCGGAACTCCTTCTTGCCGCTTCCGGCCCCAGAAATCTGCATCCGTGTCTTCACCTGGAAGGCAGAAAGGGATGGAAAGGTTATAACCTCTTTAGGAATGAACTGCGACATCTTTTCTCCGCAGAGATGGAGCTGCTACTCACCAAGTCCAGGGGCTGGACAACCATGGTGGCTCCCATGCCGGAGAGACCTCCGAACAGAAATTTGATATAATTGGGGGCGCTTGGTGCCTTGACCAGCACCTCCTCGGCTTTTATGGCGTCTTTGCTCATGTCTGCTGTTTTTTTTTCGCTGCTGCCGGGCGATTACACAACACGAAATGTTTTGATTAAATGCAGTGCTGGCGCTGGGGCTGGGGCTCTGGCTGTGTCTCTGCCTGTCTCTGGGGCTCGCAGTTCTCTGTCGATTCCAATTTCCAGTTGTGGCTGCTCGCAAGTTTTAGCTGTGCTGCTGCTGCCCTCGTTGCTGCTGTTGCACTGAGAGCCCTGCTGGGAATGTTGTGGAACACGCGCCGCGTACTGCTGCCCGGTGGCACAATTAATAATAAATTTTCCTTACGCACAGAGACCAGCTGATACTGGTGCTATAGTATAGGTGAGGTTGGTAGTGCTGCTGGCGTAGCCACCAACGCTTCCTCGTTTATTTTTGCTTTCTCTCTGTGCTTGGCACTTGGCAGAGAAACCGCGAACCGAATGTGATTCAATGTCAATGCACGTCACACACCTCCGTCCGCCTCTCCCCAAGAGTCAGAGACAGCCTGTTGCTTCACTGAGACGCCACTTTTCTGGCACTTGCACGTGTTTCGGGTGTGAGGCCACTATTGCAGTTTGTCTGCTTGGTTTATAAATATTTCTGCATTTAAACCGAAATAAAATGCAGGAAACAGAAATACATCTGACGACGAAAGTAGGTTGCGTTGTTGTTGTTGTCTGCTCAGCTGATGACGTGAACAGAGCAGAGCGGCGGCGCGGGAGAGCGCAAGGGTTGCCAGACATTCGACCATACAATATATGAAAAATAAAATTTTAAAATTACTTGTAGCTGAGAATTAAATATCAAACTGGCGTTTCTCAAAAAATAATACTGCTATGATTTAAATTCTTATAAATTTTCTAGCTGTAATGTGCCTGAAAATTAAGCATTTATAAATCAGCTCTACTGGCTCTGCTCTCATAGTGGCGGTTTTTCTCTCTCCCTCTCTCTCTGTCTCTCTCAGAGAGTCTCGTCGGTGTTGTTAAACGCCAAGCAGCTGGTACTTTGAAAACAAGAGCGCAAAATACCCCGCTCCCACCCGCTGCAGGCAGTTACCTTTTGTTTACAGTAATTTGTTCGCCCACTCACAGCTATAATTGCAAATGCCTTTGTTCTTTTTGCTTTTGCATAGAGAAATCTACAACGAATGTGTAACACCTTCACATCTGTACGCAGATCGTGTGTACATATGTTTTCTTTATCTTATTTGCTGCCTTCGTAGGTCGCTGCTTATCGTGGAATGGCAAACATGTTTGCTGCGTTTTTATCGTAATTGCGCTAATCAGATAATAAATAGGTGGGTATTGGATATTTTCATGCTTCTGATTCGTTTAGACGCTAATGGAACGCGAAGTTCTCTTATTCTGTATAGAGAATGTGATACAAGGTCAAAATTTCACTAATAAATATAAGAATTTTCAATGCATTGAGGAAACGTTCTTCAGCGTGGAGGATTGGATTGTATAGTGTATAGCCTACTAATTGGTTGGATAATTACGAAGAAATGCCTACCCGCTATAAGCACTGTTCTCTCCCACTTATTGGGGAGACCCGGACAAGAAAGAGCACCGTGAAGGCATTCCATTGTTAATAATCTCCTTGAATTTCCGAAAATGACAGATAATGAATGTCGCACAACATACGTATTATCATTGAATCGCTCTCGAACATACATATCTCCATCTCCGAAAAGCGTTCAGCCAGGCAGGCAGGATTCATCGAAGCCGCATCCATTCGAGCGCATTACGCGCATTCGCTCCACTCTGCTCTTGGTCCGGGTCTCGGTCCTGGTCTCGGCACTGGTCCTGGTCGTGGTCCTGGTCCTCGTCCTCGTCTTCATTCAATCAGAGGAGACTCAACAGATTGCCTGTCGTTTGCCTGCCATTGAAGCTGAAGCAATTCCAATTCAATTTTAGCAGCGATGACGACGACAACTCTGGCTCGAAGAGGGATTTTCGCATTTTGTAAAAAACGAAATGAGGACAACGTGCTGGGCTGGAGGTGGAGTGCTCTGCAGTGGGATGAAGGACGAGCGAGCACATTGTAAGCAATCAGTGAAAGGCAGCCATCGCATCGCGGAGCAGGGCGGAGAAAAGTAAAATCTCGAGCTGTCAAGAGCGGCTATAGATAAAAACTACAGCCCATACACGGCACTACATATAAGATATGGCCGGAACGGAACGGAACGGGCCACGGTTAATATGCTCTTCCCCCGCAGACACACACACACACACACTCACAAGCAATCGGTGTGAAGGACACTGTAAGTGAAATTGAACGCTTGGACGTACGTTAACCAAAGCCAGCAAGGAGTGCTGGGCATCCTGGGCATATAAACTATGTGGTTTCGGTTGGGACAACCAATGAGGGGGGAAAAACTAGAAATAGTAGGAAGCTCTGGTCATATCTTGGTATTCTTCGAGGCTAAATCTCGGAAGCTATGATACCAAGAGCATGGAAGCTTTGGTAACATACTTTATCTTTTTACTGCCTAAGCAATTCAAGTATCTTGTGTGAAAAAGTTGTATCTAAAGATTAAACCGTATCGCATGATGGAAGAGAATGAACCGAAGTAAGAATTTTCAAGTAAAAATCGTTATTCTTAAAGATGTTCGACAAGATGTAAATGCACAAAAGAAATTCTAGGTATTGAGATTTCTGTCAGAGCATCTTTGAGTGGTGCACATCATCGAGTGCATCCAATCTGATGGGTTGCTCAGTGCTTGGGCCATCAATAGCTGGGCCTTCCCTGCCGGATCATTTGGTCGACGGAGCTGAACCTGGCTGGCCCCCTGGCCGCCTGGCCCCATCATTCATGTGACGTTAGTCGGCCAATCAATAAAATTTCACGCTGCTGTAATCAAAGCATGTGACATTAGCGTAAAGTTGAATGAATCCCAGTTTCAGTTTCCCTGCCAGGACCCATGTTCGGGCCAGGGCAGGGCCAGGGCTGGGGACCGAAGCCTGGGCTGGGCTTTTGTGTGAAATGCTAAAACGATAAGGTCGCTCGTTATAGACTCTGCGATACTTCCCTTCGAGCCCTCGACCGACTGAGCAGCAGCGGCCTGCCCCCCGCACACAAAGCCGTGTAGAATCAACAGTTTGTCGTCGAGTCGCCCCCCGTCACATGCTAATTTTAACAGAGCCGTGCCATAAGAGTGCCAGGGAAAGTGGAACGAGGGGGGAGTGAGGAGGTGGCGGGTATGGAGGTTGGTTAAGGCCCACAAAAGCGCTGCCAGCGAAGTTCACCTGCAAGTTTGTGGAAATTTATTTTCGTGCAGCGCGCTCAGTGATGCGTTAGAGTTTTCACGGGGCGTGCGGGGGCTGGAAAATAGCGTCAGTGTGGGTTGGGTAAGCCCGGGCACGGTTTTTGGCAACGGCAAAGTTGGAGTTCAAATCGAGTGGAAGATTTCAATGCGTTGGCAAACGAAAATAAGTTGCCACTTCCCCGGGCTCTATCGGGCTCTATGGGGCTCTATCGGGCTTGCCGGCTCCCTGTCTAGTGCAGCGACCGGGCCAACATTTATTCTTGGCTCTGGCAACAATAAACAAAAATCCTTGAAGTTCAGACAAAGGTCGCCCTCCTTAGAAGGTATTCAGCGATTTGTGGCCCTGCCAAATGGCCAAAGGATACGCCCCTGGTCGCCGACAACTCACTGGCGCGTGCTGGAAAACGAATGCCGGCAGGAAATGAGGCCACAATTGGAAACCGCCAAGAAGTGCAGTATGACTCAGAGACAGGGCCCCCTGCACTTGGCCCAAAAACGAATGGTGGCCCAATGGGAAGCAGAAATGGATGGCGACTCGTTTTGACAACCTTAAATGATGGCGGGACCAGCAATGGGATTCCTTGCTCTCAACACTCTATTCCCTTCGAGCCGTAAGTGTTTCTTCCCCCCATTTGCATATCCAAGAGACAATTCGGTGGAGAGTGCCACTCCGCCAGCATCATACAAAAGTGCAACGGAATTTCTATAAATATTTCATGCACATTTCCGTGACATATGGGCCATCTATTGCAGAAATTTCTTCGTAACTTTTCCTGTTTGTCGGGGATTCCGACACATTTTTGCTGTTTTTGTTTTCCTGCTGAGTGTCCCTTAAATTAGAACAGCATTCAGAGATCCCCGCTATTCAGTAATGAAATCCGCTCTGAGGATTCATGTGGGGGATAAAGCCGGAAAAAGAAATGGCTGTCCTCGAATGGAAAGTTGAAATTGCTTTACCAAGGGGGAAACCAGAACATGGGGCTAACTGGGGACCCGGGTGTAGCTGTGTCCTTTGGCTATTTGCAATATGCAAAATGCGACAAAATAGTTGGGGAGGCCCTGGACGGGGCCACGCCACGCCCGGCCACGCCCAAGCACTTGCCACTTTCCACTGGCTTGACTGCGTAAATAAACATTTAACTTTCTATTAGAATTTGCATGGCAATGGAGCGGGGCCGAAATGAGAAGCAGTCGCGGAGAGTGCTCGACAGGATTACCACGGCCGCAGCCAATTTAAGCGGACTCCAAGGGGGAGCACCACAACCAAATCTGATTGTGGACTAAACATGCTAATGGCATTATAATTATCCCCAGGGAGCTGGAGCCAACCCAACACACACACCTGTCCCATGGCCGGAGCGGATGGAGGAGCAGGACTCACGCTGGCGCTGGCGCTGGCGGCGGTCGCGAATGCAAATTACAAAGTTTTCCCAGGAAAAAACTTCATTTCCCCACTTAAAGCAGCTGCGCGAGTGCTGCTGGTGCTGCTGCCACCGCAGCCGCGGCTAAATTGCATTGTGGTGGAGATCCCAGGAACCCTAACACCAGGACTGGAACAAGGATCGGCGACTGTCCAAGCTCTTTCACATTAGCGTATAATCAACATTAATGGGGCTGACAATGCGCTTCCGAAGACTCACGCACACGCACACGCACTCGCAGCCGCAGTCACGGAAGGCATCTCCATCGCCTCCATCGGATGCCATTAGATTCTAAGGGCTGCCATGTTTCCATTGTGCTGGCTGCCCAACGGAGCGAGAGCCCAGCACGGGGATTATATTCGCATCAGCTCAATGAAAAATTGTATTCGTATCTGTATTCGTGTTGTGCATTGTTACAAGTTGAGTTGAGAGCTGGCTGTTCCTTGTGTGGCATTGAAATTAGTTTGCATTATTGGAAAAACTGCTGACAGTTAATTGTGTCTCGGAGTCCTCGGAGTCCACATATTAAGGGTCCGCATTAGCCCCTTGTTACCTTTTTAGTCTCTGACATAAGCGTGACAGGAAATATGTTCATGCGCCCCATTGTCCACATTACGTATACGACAGAGCCACTCGCAGGCAGGCAGCCTTTAAGAGCCACCGCCCGCTGATTAGGCACTAAAATTTATGGCTCCTCCTCGTACATAGATGCTCTTGCCTGTCTGTCTGTCTGTCCGTCTGGCCTGCCTGTCTTGCTGGGTCCCCGTCGGTTTCATTCTGCTCCGTTTTGCTGCCTGCGTGTCAACCTTTTTGGTCATATAAATTAAAAGCAGCTCAGAGTCGGCCTCAAACAACTAAGCCACTTTGCCCAAATGTCTGTGGCTGCCACTAAAGTCTGATTCGGCTAGAGCCACCGCCAAGGCTTTAGCATCATTGTCAGAGTCCGAATCAGAGTCAGAGTCGGAGCCAGAGTCAGATAAAAACTTGAAATCTGCTGCGGGTGCAACTTTGCTCTATAAATGC